ATTGAAATCTATGTGAAAAAATAAAACCAAATAAAAGAAAAGAATGAATAACATGAAATCATATATATTAAGTTATTAATAATAAGGATTGATTTATATTTAAAAAAAAAAGTTTATTTAATCTATTTTATTTAAAGCATTTAAAAATTTATTTATATTATTTTAAATTTTAAAATTGACATATTAATTTAAGGTAAATAAATCTGAGAGCAGTGGGAGGTTTTGTCTCTAATTAATTACCACCGACTAGCTCAGAATATCATAGGTTTGTTGGTGCAGGGGTTAGGTGATGTGGCCCCCAAGATTTTATTCCATGCCCCCTGATGAGACGTAGACTGAGTACGGCAAATCTTAAAATGCAATGAACTTCTTGAATTGATATTTTTTTTTTTTTTTTTTGAGAAGTAACGAGATTGTTGCATTACAAAGACCGCCAAACGGCATTTACAAAAATATTAAACAATGAAATTACACCTGAAACGAAAGGAGGTGCACTTGACACTCGAACAAACACTAAGGACCCGGTGAGATCACGGCTTTTGGTCGAGCAATTCAAACGGGACACCCTTCAATCTACTCTTGGAGAAGTTGCGCTAGGCTCCAGGATGCTGGGGCGGGAAACCGAGCGACGGCGGTGATCACTAGGAAGCAGCAGTCGGCCGCCATGGATGCCAAATCTGGAACTCCAGCGAGCGTCGCCATAGATCAGCCGAAAAAGGGGAGGGCCACCGGATCTGTACAAACACAACCAAGAAACAGCAAAACAACTAAGCAAACCCACCCAAAAATAGAAAAAGAAACTGAAAAAGCAAAAGCCACTAGAGGGGCCAACAAAACCGGCAGGCCTCGAGGGCCATCAGAGCACAGAGCACAGAGCACAGGGGCTCCACCATGCTTGAGCAGCTGGGGGGCCCGACGGCTCAAGCATCAAAATGCGGTAGCCCAAGGGCTTCCGATCAAAACAAAGGGTCGCCGATAAGGGAGGTCAAGAGCAGAGAGAAGAAAGGGAAAAGATGGCACAATTGCCTTTTATTTATTTTAAGACTTTCCAACTTCTTGAATTGAATTTAATGGAAAGAAATTGTTTTTTTTTTTTCTAATAAAAACTTTGATTTTGAATTTTGTGGAAGATAATAAGTATTGAAAATTTTTTTTTATAAGATGTAATTGAATTTAATTCTAAATTAATTATGGTTTAATATGAGTTCTATGTGTGAAGAGCTAAAAAAAATGTAATTTGGTTAAAAGTAAAATTTTCTCTAAAAAATTTGAAGATGGTATTTTAATTTTTTTAAGGATATTTTGGATTAATTAATAACTCATTTTATTTAATTAGCATTTTTTAGGCGCAAATTAATAGTACATCTATTATATATATTTTTTTAATTTTATGAAATTA